ATTCCCACGTGTTGTGGGAAGGACCTGGTGGGAGGTGACTGAATCACGGGGGCAGGTCTTTCCCATGCTGTTCTTGTGATACTGAATGGGTCTCATGAGATCTGATGTTTTTTAAAAACAGGAGTTTCTATGCTCCAGCTGCCTCTTTGCCTGCTGCCATCCATGTATGATGTGACTTGCTCCTCTTTGCCTTCTGCCATCATTGTGAGGCCCCCTGCCCCAGTCATGTGGAACTGTGAGTCCAATAAACCTCCTTCTTTTGTAAATTGCCCAGTCTCGGATATGTCTTTATCAGCAGCATGTAAATGAACTGATACACTAAGTAAATGAATAAGTTGAAATTTTGATGAGGAACAGGATGTTTACTTCCCACAAAATACTAATTACAAAGGGATAGAGAATACAATGGAGAGGCCTGGCAGACATCACTTTAGTCAAGTGATAAAGGTAATAGGATGTTGGTAACAAGACAAATCAAACCTGGGCACAATGTGATAGAGTGAAAGGATACCTCATCACTTCTCTCTTACGCCTACCAAAGATGCTAACCTGAATCTAATATTAAGAAAACAGCAGGTAAACCCACATTGAGATAAATTCTGTAAAAGCTAGTGCTTGTAATATTCAAAAGTTCAAGGTCATCGAAAGTCAGCAAAACTGAGGAGCTGTGTCAGAGTGAAGGGGACTAAAGGAAATATAGCAGCAAAACACAACATGTCATTCTGATTTGGACTTTTTGGTGTACTGGATATTATGGGGATAATTGGTAAAATTGGATGGGTCTGAGAATGAGATTGTAGTAAGGTATTAACATTAGTGTCCTGATATTGACGGTTATACTATGAGTATGTATTCTCCCTCCCTCTCTTTCTCCCTTCCTCCCTTTCCCTTCTTTTCTTTTGTCCTTTCCTTTCCTTCCCTCCCTCCCTCCTTTCTCTCTCTCTCTTTCTTTCTTTCTTTCTTTCTTTCTTTCTTTCTTTCTTTCTTTCTTTCTTTCTTTCTTTCTTTCTTTCTTTCTTTCTTTCTCTCTCTCTCTCTTTCTTTCTTTCTTTCCTTCTTTCTCTCATTTCCTTTCTTCCTTTCTTTCTTTTTTATTTGTTTGTAAAATCCCTTTTTCTGTAGAACACGCACACAAATTATCACAAATATCTGAGTATAATGAAACATCAGGATGGCAACTATTTTCAAATAATTCAGAAAAAAAGTGATTTCTACCACACTTGCAAGTTTTCTATAGGTTTGAGATTCTTGTTCACCTAAATGTTTTAGGTGTTGACTGCTATAATTGCAGTTAAATGCTTGAACACAGGAACAATTTGGTTAACTGGAATGCATGAGGTATGGTATTTTCATTAATTGAACTTAATGGTTAACCAACAGAGAAATGGAAATTCCCTTTTCATTTAATCTTTATCTGGCACATTTCCAGATATATCAATATGCATCACTGCCTCAGAAAGTAGAGTAGAATGCTCTTGCAATAAATGTACTTGACAATCCATCTGCCTTATGGCATGTCATCTATCAATGTCATTTATAAAGTCATTCAGAGGTACTACTCAGGTGAAACAGAGGGTGACAAATCTGTGATCCTTCAAAAGTTTCGGCTTCTAAAATAGCTTTCATGGGTAAATCCTTGATACTGGCTAAGGTAAGCAGGAAATCTGGTTATAGTTCAGTGATTCAAAAAGTATGGTTTTCTTATCAAAAGTGGTGTCCAAATTTTCCTCCCATCTCAATTTGATAAAAAGCTTCTGGCAATGTAGACATTGGGTCTTCCTCTAATTCCTGAAATGGAAAGTGTTATGTGCCTTATGTTACTGGGGTTCTGTGCCTCAGGGTCTTCATTGTCAAATGAAATATTGATAGTTTTTATTTCACAGAGTTCTTATTCAGATCATGAGAATAAAGTACTTGGATTGAAGGAGCTTAGTAAAAAGTGGCAAAACTAGACAAATAAGATTAGTTGATAGAAATCACTACAAGTACTTCCACTTATGGTTTTTATCCCATTGAGGATATCAGAATCTTGTTAGTCAAGAGTTTAAGAGTCAAGATATCAGATAGTCTGATACCTGAAAAGGGTCTGTTTATAAAACTTCAAGAAAACAACAGAAGGTTTTTTTTTTTTTTTTTGGATATGAGTGAACATGCTCCACAAAATAAGAACCAAATTTACTGAATTCAGAATAATAAATGAATGCTGATTATGTAGAATAAGGTGAGACAATATGTAACAGGTTTTTAAGTTAATTTCTTCCTCCTTCTTTTTGGTGAAAGCACTGCAGTTGCATCATTTGATTTTTACGTAACAAAGCCTATATTCATTAGGTTGCAGAGGAGCAGTTCACTCTGCCCACACCCTGACACTTGTCTCTGTTAGCCGGGAAAGCATCAGGCCCACTCTTTGCGTGGGTTGCCCTTCAGCTGTACAGTTCTTGTTAATCTGGAGGATCTGTGATACTGCAAGTCCTTACACTGTTTGGCATGGGCTTTTGCTATCATCTGACAATAGGAATAGTGTCTTCCCCATTAAGGGCAAGCACAGGTTTACATATATTGATCCTTATCACTAATTGTTCAAAATATTAAGGGAAATTTCATGGGTAAGATTGAACAGGGTAGGGAAGTATTTTCAATTTCTGCTCTGTAGTGTGGACATTCAAGTCATTATTACTGCTGAGTTGCTAGCATTTTTCAAGCTGTCTTTTAGCCCAGAACAAGTCATAGTTTTAATGTTTAAGTCACAAAGACCAGCCCATATAAAGAGAGAGTTTTGATTAAAAAATACTACTCTTCCTATCTCTGTGGTGCCTCCCTGAAATTTTTGCTTACCACTCAGCCTCTTTCATCATTGTAGTCATCACTCAGGGATCACTGGGTGAATGAATAAGTTTTATGCCATCCCTTTCCCCCCGATACTTCCCAAAAGGAAACATCATTAGGTACTTATGCCAGTGTTTATACATTGAATTAGAGAAGCAGAAGTTCTTTGTATAATTTATAGTCATCGTTACATATTTAATAGCATACAATCTTTTCTCAAATTGAAGTTTTAAAATAACTTAATTTGTTTCAGCTTGAATTAATTTCATTGGAATTATTACAATACCATATCTGCAAAATTTAAATGTTGGAAGATGGAATTAGAGAAAAGAATAGTAAGATTTTGTTTCAAAGTTCATATAAATGCTACTGATAAATCATAAATGAAAAAAATATTCTAAACAAACTAATATAAAGTTTTTCTGGTATGACTGCATTGAACGTGTGGTAATGGAAACTTGATAAGCAGAGGCTGAATTGGAAAGTGGTTTATTTTAGATATAAAAAAAGCCCGGAAGTGGGGTGTTCAAGGCTAACATGGCACATGATAGATGTTGTGAAATACCTCTGTTTCTTTCAGTTTCTCAATCAGCCACCCTTAGCATGTGGCCTTTAACCTCAGGCTTCTCTACTTCAGCCTGTCATGTCTGTGTTCCAAGGGGAGAGAGAAGGACAAAAGCTTAAAGGCTAAAGTGTAACCATCAACTGAGGCAACCTTTCTCACCAGCTTGAAGGGAAGTCACACTCAAAGATTTCTTAAATCCTGTTGGCAAGGAGTGTGGCATATGATTACTCCAGTGGCATTGAATTTTTCAAAGCTAAGTATTTTAAACTGGGAATATTTCTAACTCCAAGAAAAGTAGAATTCTCTGATTAAAAGAAAGAATAGACATCTGTCAGGGCACTAGTAGCGTTGGCCACGAATGTCTTAATTTAGATAGATCCTAATAAAAATAACAATCATCAAGTTTCAGAATCTTTCTTCAAATGTGATTAGTGAAATATGTATCCCTTCCTACTACTTACTGAATGAGAGAAATTTTCCATAGATAAGATAAAGTGTGACTTCATACAGGATCATATTTACTTGGTAATCAGAATAGTTTGTTTATAGTACTTATCATAATTCATTTCCTGATAAATGGAGAAGAAAGTACATCCAAAATGACCTCTGTTGTTTCTTTTGCATTCTTCTATTATTTAAATATTCTGTGTTTCTGGGAATAATAGATAGAAGGAGAAATTTATGTATTAAAATTATTTAATGGTAACTCAAGTATTTCCCTTTATATTATATATACTATTATTTAGATTTAGAAGGACAGCAAAATTTTAATTTTATTTGTTCCTTTATGTTGTACCAACAATACAAATTTAAATATACTTTAAAATAGATTTAAAGCTAATGTGATTCATTAGAAATACATGAAGTGTTGATTTTATAAGTGTTGCATCAATTAATATTTTTATGTGACTTACCTTTACTATCAACAGCTTTTATTCTGATTTACAAAGCAAAACAAAATAGCAAATTTGGGGTACATTTGAGCACTTATGTTGAGTTACTTCAGAAAATTATTAAATAAAGTTAGTTACTCATGTAGGAATTAATCAAATAATGTATCTCTTTTAGAAATTAATTATAAAATTAATGAACATTTTCCATTGTCTCATTTAAATATTTGTTCTAACTGACATTAAACTAAGACCTAATAAATAGAATACAGTCTAGTTTTCAGAAATAATCAATTGTTTATGTGTGTTAGTGTGTTTTGAGGAGAGGAGGTGATATGGAAATTTGTAGTTTGATAAAAGAAAAGATAGAAAAAGAAGCAACTCTAAAGTAACAATTTAAAGCTATGATGCTATCAAAGGTGCACATAATAACTATAATAAAAAGCCATTTAAATATGCAATGTGTGTTGGGGAGGAAATGAAGTCAACAGAAAATATTACATTACAAAAATAGGGGAAGTATAAAAAAATTACAATGCCCAAAGTTAAAGAAAAAAAGGAAATAAAGGTAGTAAGTATATTTTTGAAAAAGAAAATCCTAGTTAATGACAATTGCTGTCCCTGAGATACAATACCCAAGAAAAAATAGAAAATTAGGACTGAAAGACACAATAGATGAGACTTTCCCTTACATGAAGGAAGGACTGATTTTTTTTTAGGTCAAAGAGAAACAATCTTCCAGAAAATATGCATAAAACAAAGGACCTTACAAGACAACTTGCATGGATACTCTGAAGCAACTTTGAGGTCTCCTTGATGAGGAAAGTTGGCTCAACCTGCTGTAGAGGTGAATCATTTGGTTAAAGTATATTCATATTTTATGGCCTCTTTTCAGGTGTCTGACCCTCTCTCAAAAAAAAAAAACTTATTTGCTTACTTTATTGATATTCATCTGCAGTTTGAATACATTTCTTCCCACCATCTTGGCTCCCAAAATCTTTGAATCTGATACCATTTCCTATTCTGATAGTATAATACCACTCATACATGTTATATCTTTATTTCAGCATAGTGTTTGATGGGATCTTTTCTGGTATCTTTTTTCGCAATCTCTAACACTAAAACTTAGTGTGTCTTGCAATTTTTTACAAACATATTTTTCATTTATATCAAGAGGACGTTAATTTTTGTGGTAGTATAGTATAGATTAATTTCATCAGTTCCCCTGCTGCTCCGGGTACCATTTAGAACTATTCCTAAAGTCTGCACTGAACTACAATAAATGTTTAGTCTAGTTTTAGTAGTTACTCCTTTTAAGGACAAATACCATCATGTACTGGAGTTCACACAAAATGTTTTGAGTTCTGTAGATATCTTCCTGATAAAAATTTTAAATTCCAAGGTATAATTTGGGGAGATAATTAATTACACCAACATTTTGTCCCATTGGAGGAAAGACCATTTGCCATTTTTCCCCATGCATGTTCTACCTATGCTCACCCAATTCTTAGCAACCTCCTCTTGCTAGCTTCATTCCCAACCCAAGGAAAAAAGATTAACCTGCTTATTCAAATCCATAGAGATTGATTGCACATAATTAGTAGCGGGCATTGCCACTGCATGCACAATCACTGGTTATATCTTCAAAGAGAGGAGTCTAGGTCTGGAACTTCTTGTTGTCATTTTTTTTTTTTTTTTGTATTGTGTTGTAGAATTGGTAAGCAATGTCAGGGAGTCCTCTTAAATTTTGGTGGCCTTTCTCTGTCTTTCATGCTGTGTCTGAATGGGTAAAAAAAAAAAAAAAAACCCTTCAGCTATACGTTTTTCTCTCATGCAGGTATACCTGAGCCTTCTGTTCTCAGTATCTAAAACGTGAATGTCTTAACATGAGAGAGGTGTTTAGGAGGTCCCTTCTGACTTAAAGCCTAAGTCAGAGGCTTCAATTTACTTTTTAACCAGCAGGGTTAGTTACAGAGTCTTGCAACCAACAAAATGACCTTTATTCCTGTTCTATTTTGTTTTTTGGTTGCCTTACTTAATAACCACTTGGGAGAGATTCTTGACAGTGACATAGGATTTAAGCTTTCCTAGCCACCTGAATGCAAAATGATTATAATACCATCAAATGCTATCTCTGACTTCTAACATTGCTTCAAACATTTGATGAGAAGGTCTGTAGTTATGTATAAGTCTATGTCTGTGTTAGCTTTTGATTCCTGAGGACAGACAGCATGCATTTTATTTCTTATCCCAGGCAGCGGGTATAGTGCTTGTACACAGAAGGTATTTTTCCAGTGAGCCAGAACATAATCCCAAGTATATAATTTTGAAATCATATTTTTCAGATATTTGAAGTTTCTTATAAGGAAACATTTAATTTATAATACCCCAAAAGGGATTATGCTAATTTTAAAGATGAAGAAATTGAGACCCCAAGAGATTAAAGGTTTAAGTTTCCATGAAGAGGAAGTGGCAGAGTTGAGATTCCAGTGGAGATATGCCCAACTCTAAAGCCAGCTCTTGGCAGAGCATCACTGTTTCTCAGCTAGCCCAAGGGTACAGGGAGTTTTCAAATTGTCATCCTTAGTCAGCCAACATTATCTCATGCGACTCCATATCAGTTCTCCTGGTTCTGGGCAGCCACTTGGACGTTCTTGATGATGAAATCCTGGTTCTGGGCAGCCACTTGAATGTTCTTGATGATGAAATATTTTGGTCTTTTGGCTGTTATGCAAGCATAGTCAACTAAAAAATATCCTTATGAGAAAGTGTCTTCTCCATTATGCTGTTTATTTACAAAAGTCTTGGAGTAAGATGAGAGAGGGAAAAGGGGTGACAGGAAGTCCAGGAGGTTCAATGAAGGCAAGGCAGGAACATTTGAGAGAAACTAAATTCCAGCATTCTATTAATATTTAAAAATTATTACATTATATTAGTAAGAAATCTCTATATTCTCAGGCTGGTCACTTCTGTATGGCAGATGTCAAAAGCTGAGTCTCCAGCTTCAGCAATTGCCTCCAGCTTGTGTAAAGTTTTCTCTCTACAAGTATTCATGACTGAAGGCTGACTAGAGAATGAGCGAGGAAGAAAATAAAAGCCAGTTCTATCTTGTGCCTTTAGTTATGTACAGTCTTAATTGCATATTAGACTTGGCTACTTTGAGATAATCTTCTCTATAGTTAAGATGAGCTAATGGAATGTAGAGGGTTGTCTTTTATTGTTAAATGAATGTTGCTAATTTTGATCATGTTTCCCTAGTCTAACCATTCTCTGAATCATTGTAAATAAGCAGAAAAGCAAGGGACTAGTAGCAAACCTTTTATTATTGTGTATTTATTTCTTTGTTGGCTGTTATATGATTGAGTGTATTTGTTTTAATTCTACAAAAACAAGCAGTTTATTCAAATGCAAGCAGTAAATAAAAGAGGGGGAAAACATAATTCAGGATGTTAAAAAATAGAAATACAAAAAACACATCAGGAAAAAAATTGTATAAAAATATGTATGTCATAATTTTTTTAATAGTTGCTAAAATTATGTCTACAGATTTAGCTCCAAGCACTCTGGCAGCAAAAGAAGAAATGAGAAAATATATTACTTTAAAAATTTGTATCATCTAGGAGAAGCATACAATCTTCTTTTAGTTGTTATTAGAGTGACAACCATATCTAAGGCCTATTGTTTATGTACATGGGTTCTTAATGTTTTCTCAATGAATGCTTATGATATGCAGGCTGAAGCCAGTTGAGCTCATGTTTTCTAGGGCTTTAGTCCCTTCTTCTATGAAGATTGCTCCAGACCAAATGTGCACACCTCTAGTTACTGTGGAACACAACACATGAGCCATGGCCACTAGGTTTCATTTGAGATCATGTTCCATTGAAACTCTTTAGTGATATGAGAACCAAGACTGCTTTTTGTCTTCTTTCTTCCTATTTCTGTCCCATTTCTTCTGAAATTCTAGATAATTAAGAGCTACCATTTGCCCTATCCTTCTAGATTACAATGTGATGAAGTCCTGCTGATCAATTTATATCTCAAATGCATGGCATTGTGAATTGGTACTATTTCTGTTCATTTGAAGGAACACCCAATATTTGAAATCACTCTAGAGCTAGAAAAGATAGCAAAATTAAACAATCTGGTCCTGGGATATAGTAACTTTTTCCAGGGAACAGTAAGAGGGAAATATACACCAAAGCAAAATTCTATTTGTTTTTAATTTTCATTATTACATACCTGAGGAAGATATTCTTATTTACAGGTGGGTAATTAACTTATAGCAATCCTGCAAATTCCCTTGATTCAAAAATAATTCGAGTCAGTAGCTGAGGTTTCAATTCTTTCATTTAATTGATTGAATCTCATTGGCTTTTCTTTCCAGTCACTAACACGTTAGTATAAATCTGTTGAACAGATTCTCTCAAGGCAGAGAATTTGTTCAGAAAAATCTCTCTTATATAATGAGGGACACATGACAAATTAAATATATTTGGATGGGAAGAAGTTGGAAAAAGTGCATTTAGAATTGATTTAATGCATAACAGCTGAACCCTTAGCTATAGACCAGCTCAGCCAGGGTTCTGATTAGTATCTGATTCAATGTCAGATGCATGAATGATGAAAACTTTTGTACTTACTTCATATCTCTTGAAAGGCCTGACTTGTAAAAAGATTTGGAAATTTTGAATCATCCCAAAGCATTTCTAAATGCTCACATACAAAACTATTATTTTTTGTATTTTTAAATAGTGTAGAAGTCAAATGAAAAAATAAATGATAGAGAATATTACCTTAAGTGTGCTATGTTATTGACCTTCTTACATGAAAAGTCATTTTCTAAAAAAATACAATACAAATTGTTTCTTTAAAACAACAGGAAACTTTAAATTATTTAAATAATCGTACTTTAATATAACTAAGTGACTTACTCAAGCTTTCTTGTTAGGGATGTCTAACAACTCTACTGAGTTACATATAGACAGCTGTCTTTTATGAAGTCAAAATAAGAAAGATATTTCCATACTTCTTGTTTGTTTGCTTTATAACAACCTATATTATATAAAAATTTTATCTTTTTTTTTTTTCTTTTTTTCTGAGGCAGAGTTTTGCTCTTGTTGCCCAGGCTGGAGTGCAATGGTGCAATCATGGCTCACTACAACCTCCACCTCTCAGGTCCAAGCGATTCTGCTGCCTCAGCCTTCTGACTAGTTGGGATTACAGGTTCCCACCACCATGCCCAGCTAATTTTTGTATTTTTAGTAGAGATGGGGATTTCACCATGTTGGCCAGGCTGGTCTCGAACTCTTGACCTCGTGATCCACCTGCCTCGGCCTCCCAAAATGTTGGAATTACAAGTGTGAGCCACTGCGCCAGGCTGCAAAACCTTTATCTTTAACAGCACATGGATGGCTATTGACAGTTCATAAACAAACAAAAAATAAACATTTCACCCAAAGATGTGATCATCTGTAGGTTGCCTATGTAATATAGTCATAAAACATTATAACATTATATGAGCATTATAAATATAAATTAAACACAGTCTTTAATATGAATAATATTATCATCTGGCTTTTGTTAATAATTTTGATAACTACTGAATGGAAACAAAATGAGAATTCAAAAGTGCAAATCGTGTGCAATTTTTACAGAAGGTAAAAAACACAATTTCTTTTTTCCTTTAGTAGGCTCACAGCCAAGCCATTGAGAGAAAAGTCCATGGGAGACAAATTATCTCATGCAGCTGAGATGTCCTGGAGATTTTCCACAGCACCACTTGGCCAGTGCCTGGACAAGGTAATTTACCGTATCTCTAAATGTCCTACTCCCAAGAGCACATTCATCTTGCCTCCCCTTGAAGCAGATCCCTTGAAGAGTTTCATGTTTACGAACATGGAGTAGTATTGTTTGGCCAACAAAATGAGAAAATGAATTGTGTTTTCAGTAAACTCATCTATTACCTTACTTCAGTTCAGAGTGATTAAACTAATAGTAATTGATGAAAATAACCAACTTAAAATGAGGAATGAGCATAAAATGTGGTTATGCCATCAGAGTTCTACCTGCGACAAGAAATGAAAATCAAATCAACTGGGCATTATCAAGCAAAACGATGGTAAGTAAAATAGATATAATTTTAGAATCATCATAAAATAATGAAAGAGATGTATTTTTATTGAGGTTTGTTTAGATACCAACAGGAATCTTTTTTCAAAGTCTGAATTTCATTAGAAAAAGCATGAAAATATATTGAAAGGCATTTATAGATTTAAAAAGATGTTAGAAGGCTTGAGGAACTTATAGAAAACATTATTATTTTGAAAAGAAAATTGGCCAAAACCTTCTGAAATGTTAACCTCAAGGAGAGAAATGAATAACATTAGTTAAGAGTTTTGATTCTAATCAACCTAAATGCCCATCAATGATAGACTAAATTTAAAAAAAAGTTCTACATATAATGGAATACTATGTAGCCATAAAAGTAATGAGATGGTGTCCTTTGCAGGGACATAGATGGAGCAGGAGGTCATTATTCTTAGCTAACTAATGCAGGAACAGAAAACCAAATAACACGTGTTCTCATTTATAAGTGGGAGCTAAATCATAACACATGGACACATAGATAGGAGCAACACACACTGGGTCCTATCAGAGGGCGGAGGGTAGGAGAAGGGAGAGAGGATCAAGAAAAATAGCTGTTGAGTACTAGGCTTAGTACCAACAGTTGAAATAATCTGTTCAACAACCCCCCGTGACACAAGTTTACATACATCAGAAGTTTATGTATATAACCAACCTGCACATGTACCCATGAACTTGAAATAAAAGTTAAAAAGGAATTTTGATTCTTAAGAAAGTGGGAGAAAAGTTAAATAGATTAAAAATATTGATGAAATACTTTGAAAAGATATTATATAAATATGTATTAAGTTTTTGTGTGTCTAAACTTCTTAAAACTAGAAATAGTTTAATATTAGAAATTTCATAAAATATTGATACACCACAACACTCTTTTGAGTATTATTTTGTTTCCAATTTATACCCAGTTTAAAGAAATCATGGTTTCTACTTTGTACTTAGAAAACTACTTCTTTTTATCTAATCCATTGTATGTAGTCAAACTAGGTGTGTCAGATGCACATTTATAGAAATGTTAACCTTGTGGGCAAAATAAAGTATGGGAATGGTGTGTTTTTCTCCTGACACAAATAACTACTTCTTTATGATAGACATAATCATTTCTTGTGTCTTATTTATCTCCTTTTCTTTCACCTGCATGATTTTATTTGTATTTCTGATAAAATTACATTTTTTAAATTATTGAAATGTTTATCAACATATGTGTTCTAATCCAGATCAAAGATATGGATACTCATAAGGTTCTCATAGCAGAGAAATTACAATGGTTTGTGGGGAGGGGGTTACTAATAGTAGCCGCTGGAACAACCACAAAGGCATTATAGGAGGTGGGTAAAACCAGGGTTAAGGCAGGCTCTAGATCTTTTATTTATGTATAGTTCTAGAGGTTCTGATTCATTGGGCAGAAAAGCAATGAAATAAAAACATTAAGAGAGAGATACAGAGGTGGGTGTGTGGTGGGTGTGAGGAGGAGAACCAGATGGATGATGGTTCAGTCAGAAATTTGAAAATGTATTTGAATTTCAAATCCAAATGCATTCCCCTAATATGAAGAAAAATCTATTTACATTAAAAAATATCTGTAAGAATATGCAACACATCTCTTTCTTTCCTTCCAAATCAAGTAGTAACTAAAGGACCAGCAAATAAGGAACTATGCGTCCATTTTTAGAAAAGTATATTTTCTGAGTTTGTTCTTTGCCAATCCAGTATTCCTTACTTTTCACTCTGACTTAAGGTATCTGCAACCACATTCTTCTTGTCATCCAGAAGATGGCATGGTGATATTTTCTCAAAGCCTTAGTTTAATTACTTGCATTAGTTGTTATTTACTCACACATTGGGCTTTTCTCACATTTTCTTTTGTTTCAGAAAATATATTTTAATGTAAAACATACCAGGCTATTCTTTGGTATGACACCTGATGGGAAGCTTGGATCATGTTGAGTATGTCACAAAGTGTCATGCATCATTCCTATGCCTAAGTGACAATCTCAGTTGAGACCTTCAGGTTTTCCCACCTTATCTATCTCAATGACTGGGTTCCTTTCCACTTTGCCATTCCTCATCTCTCCACTGACTGCCATATTGATTTTTCAAAATGTAAATATAATTATGTCACTCATCTTCCAAAAGTTCTTAAGTAATTGCTTATAACCCACAATATAGTAGAAAAACTGAGAGTGGTATAGAGAATCCTTTAGGCCTGGGGCCTGCCTACCTGCTCAGCATTATCTGATCCACCCTCATTAACCCCCTCAGCACTGGCTGTACTGAGAAATTTGGTATCCCCCAAAGTTATCATGACATGCTGCCCTTTAGGCTGGCCAGCTCTTTCTACCTGCTGCGAGAGAACAACTACTCTCCCTTCAAGTCCAAATGTTAGCTGTCCTGTTGATTGAGAAATATCATTAAACACATCTTTTTCCCTTCTCTGGCATCTTGTGTGTAATTCAGAACCCCAGTCATTATTGTTTTGATATTCTTCTAATCCAGCACTTTCACATAGGGGTCTTTCAATAATTCCTTGCTGAAATAAACAATCAATGAAAAAATAAATAGGTGCTTAGCAAATATTAAGAACATCAGAAGTTTTATTGCTATCTTGTACCAAGTTGCTGGAAATGTTTGAGATCACATATAATATAACCAACATCTGCATATGACTGGAAATTTTACTACCAGATCATCGTCCTACAATGAAACATTTTTTGAAAAAGATTGTCTGTGTCAGATACACCTTAGTTTGAAAACATTTTAAACTTAATTATTCTAACTTCTATATTATATTCATGGGAAAGTCAAGTCCAGGAAGGTGAAAGGAATTCACAGTAACGCAACTGAAATTAAAGGTGGGGCAGAACTAAACCAAGGTATACAGATACTCAGGCAATCATCATAATAAAAAAATGAGGTCTTTATTATGAAAACAAATAGATGAAAAAAATTACAAACGGGTTCTTATTTTTATTCACCTAACTCGTATAATCATTAAATGTCTATTGTCACTATGTTTAGGACACCATGCTATTATGAATGTTATGGTGTTATGGATACAAAACAAATAGCATATAGATTCTTCACTTAAAAAAATTCATGTTTCATCTCTTGTCTCCTTTCTGTCTCCCTTCCACTATCCTTCCTCTCCACCTAAGAACACTTTATAGTGTCCTAAGTTGGGCCTTCAGCTAAATTATCTAAGTAAATTTAATGGTGGAAAAAATAAATAAGCACAGCACAGAGAATCCTTATAGTCAGGCTGTGGATCAGACTCTATCTCTAAGCTCTGAGGCCTTAATAAGTCAATCTATTTTTATGAGCTTTGGTTTATAACTTCGATGGGTCAGAGCGATCTCTGCTTGTCTCTGCCACAGGCTACTTTGAGAAGAAATGATGGAAATGCTTCATTTCAAAGCATTGGCTTTGGCATCAAAGAAGCTGGTTTTGAATCTCTGCTCTGTTATTTATTAGCTGTATGAGTGTCTCTTCATGTTGAAAATGGGTTATATTTTCCACCTTATCATTGTTAGGATTACCAATATCATAAGTAAGGATAAAGGTCTGACGTTTAGGACAGTCTCAATTAACATAAATCTTACTCATTTTAGGAACGTTTGGGAGAACTTTATCAGTCCTAAAGTTCTGTAGACACTTTAGAAATTATTTCTCCCCAGACACATACTATCTAAAGCCTGCCATTGATGAGATGGCTGGCTGAGTTGCCTTAGCCTGGATATTGGTGGTCTTCTGATTTCCTTCCAGAATCCACATCTTAACTGCAAAGATCAGCAATGATGCTGGGTCCACATAAATGGCCTAGGAGCCTGAGGCTATGTGAAATGAGGACTACTCTGGAGTAAATTGTCATGTTCAAAAAATAAATAATGAGTCAGACCATGCCTAATTCCACAGGAAAGAGATTAGTTGCAGCAAAAACATGTGGAGTTAATTTGGTTCGAAAAGAAAAAATTAACATCTTGAATTCCACACAAAGACTCATACTCCTTGGAGTTTGTGGGGTTATTTACAGAGCCCCATTGTAACCCTGCATAAACGTAGTAGGTACGTTATAAAGCAGCAAATCAAGGATGACTGTTGTTACAGTGAAGGGTTCTGTTTTATATACATTATAAACCTTATTCCACATATGTAGCCTTTACTGATATGGGACTTAGGGATTTTGAGGGAATTGAAACAAGAAATGAGATTTACATAATGCTCTCTCGAGTTCCATTTTGGCTAAATTTTAAAACATGATTTAAAAATAATGTATACTTGGAATGAGTCAGAAGAAAGCGCTTGTTTCTACAATGTGGACGTCAGCTGTAGCTTGCATAATATAAATCTTTTATTAATTCAGTGTCCCAATTGACTGCTAAATTTTGTCATTCAGAACTTGAAGTTGCTTTCAAGTTTGCTTTTTGGGATAGTTCCTACAATTACTATGAATTTTCATAGTTGTGTAGATCCTTGGCTTCATCACTTTTACTTTCTTTTGTATGTGATGCAGGAAGAATAGAATTTGCTTCTGGCTGATTCCATCTGTAGACTTGTCCCCAAGCCTCTGTTTTATTCTGCCATGTTCTTGGACTTTTCTTTCTCTCCAGCCTTAGACAAAAGGCATCTTTTCCAAAGCCCCATTTTCAGTGGGTTTTTTT